TCCACCCCACTATGTCCTCTGGTTTCTTAAAAATGTTTACACCTTTGCCCATACTCTACTTCCCTAACTCCCAAGTCAATGTCTCTTCTTTCTAAGAACTTTCATCTACTTTCTTTATCCAATCCTCCCACAGGCATCTTGACCTTCAAAGCAAAAGCAAAAAAATTCTTCCCTCAACCCTATTACCCCAATGATTATCTTGTTTCTTTATGATGCCAAACATCTAAATCTATAACCACAACAGAGATCTCTCTTCTCTTCCCACATTAAAACAGGCATTTTTTTTTTCTTTAAGCTTATTTATTTTGAGGGGGAGAGAGAGAGAACGAGAGTGAGCAGGGGAGGAGCAGAGAGAGATGAAGAGGGAGAGAATCCTAAGCAGGCACCTCGCTGTCAGCACAGAGCCTAACATGGGGCTCAAACTCATGACCAGTGAGATCATGACCTGAGCCAAAATAAAAAGTCTGATGCTTAACTGACTGATACACCCAGGCACCCCCAAAACAGCCTTTTCTAATAATCAGTGTCAAAGTGACCTCAAGATAAGTACTTGTAAAACAGAATTTATCATCCTGCACCCCTTCCCATGCCCTCTACTTCATTTTGCTGTTTCTCTTAGTAACACACTGTTCTTAGTGACTCAAGTCAAAAACCTCAATCTTCTATGGGGCGCCTGGGTGGCGCAGTCGGTTAAGCGTCCAACTTCAGCCAGGTCACGATCTCGCAGTCCGGGAGTTCGAGCCCTGCGTCAGGCTCTGAGCTGATGGCTCAGAGCCTGGAGCCTGTTTCCGATTCTGTGTCTCCCTCTCTCTCTGCCCCTCCCCTGTTCATGCTCTGTCTCTCTCTGTCCCAAAAATAAATAAACGTTGAAGAAAAAAAAAAAAAACCTCAATCTTCTTTTGCCATCAATCCCATTATTTGCATCTCTACTTCCTAGTGCGATCCTATCTATCAATCTAGACTCAGTTCCAAAGTCATTTGTAACATGGTCCCTTCTGATCACTCAACCAAGAATGATCCTTTCCTCCCCCTACATTCTTAAAGAACTTGGCTTGCATCACTCATGGGATGTTTATCACACCTGTCTTGACCTGTACAACTTCTGAATGCAGGTAATCATATAGTATGTATTTCTGGATGCAGCACAGAACAATCATAGTACTTCACTCACAGCAAGCACTTGGAAGAATACTAATCAAGGGCCACAAAGAACAATTCTATCAGCAAGCCAATGTAAACATTAGGAAAAGTGTCCTCCTTCCTAGCAAGTCACACTCTATTTTAACTGGCTTCCATATCATCCCCTACCTCACCTGTATCTCCTAATCAGACTTTTTTCTGGACTGAAGGACTTTATTTCCAAGAACTTTCTAAATATCATCATTTAGATAACATGTCCCAAATTGACCTCAGACCTTCTCTAATTAACTATCTTCCCATAGACCTCATGAAGATAAAAAGCTTCTGCACAGCAAAGGAAACAACCAACAAAACTAAAAGGCAACCAATGGAATGGGAAAAGATATTTGCAAATGACCTATCGGACAAAGGGCTAGTATCCAAAATCTATAAAGAGCTCACCAAACTCCACACCTGAAAAACAAATAATCCAGTGAAGAAATGGGCAGAAAACATGAATAGACATTTCTCTAAAGAAGACATCCAGATGGCCAACAGGCATGAAAAGATGCTCAACATCACTCCTCATCAGGGAAATACAAATCAAAACCACACTGAGATATCACCTCACGCCAGTCAGAGTGGCCAAAATGAACAAATCAGGAGACTATAGATGCTGGAGAGGATGTGGAGAAACGGGAACCCTCTTGCACTGTTGGTGGGAATGCAAACTGGTGCAGCCGCTCTGGAAAACAGTGTGGAGGTTCCTCAAAAAATTAAAAACAGACCTACCCTATGACCCAGCAGTAGCACTGCTAGGAATTTACCCAAGGGATACAGGAGTACTGATGCATAGGGGCACTTGTACCCCAATGTTTATAGCAGCACTCTCAACAACAGCCAAATTGTGGAAAAAGCCTAGGTGTCCATCAACTGATGAATGGATAAAGAAACTGTGGTTTATATACACAATGGACTACTATGTGGCAATAAGAAAGAATGAAATATGGCCCTTTGTAGCAATGTGGATGAACTGGAGAGTGTGATGCTAAGTGAAATAAGCCATACAGAGAAAGACAGATACCATATGGTTTCACTCTTAGGTGGATCCTGAGAAACTTAACAGGAACCCATGGGGGAGGGGAAGGAGGAAAAGAAAAGAGGTTAGCGTGGGAGAGAGCCAAAGCATATGAGACTCTTAAAGACTGAGAACAAACTGAGGGTTGATGGGGGTGGAAGGGAGGGAAGGGTAGGTGATGGGCATTGAAGAGGGCATCTTTTGGGATGAGCACTGGGTGTTGTATGGAAACAAATTTGACAATAAATTTCATATATTAAAAAAAAACTATCTTCCCATATTTGGTAATAAAAACAGCTACCATAAGCAATTTCATATAGATATGTATATATATGTATATATCTATATACATACACACACACACACACACACAATTCCCATTAGTCCTTACAACAACCCTATCATTCCTCTATTACAAATGAAATTTGAAAGTTTTATAAGAACAAGATCAGAAGATTCATGATCACAAAACTAGTCTGTGATGGATACACACCTGCATATCTTGGCATGTTTCACTCAAAGGCAATGCTCAGCTCATCCAGTCTCACATGGAAAAATTAAAAATCCTGAAATCATCCTAAAAATTCTACTTTTTCTATATTCTGCCACTCAGTTCTATCTATCCTACTACCTAAATATTTCTCATACTAGTCCTCTCTATACCTATGACCTCTGTTTAGCCCTTAAACATTTCTCTCCTAATGCACTGCAATAACCACCTTATTGATATTCTGCCTCAATCTCAACCAATGATAGGGTTCTTTCTATATTTAAATTTCATCATGTTGCTACCCTACTTAAAATTTTATAAAGAGTTCCAACTGCTGGGGCGCCTGGGTGGCTCAGTCGGTTGAGCATCCAACTTCGGCTTAGGTCATGATCTCCCAGCTCATGAGTTTGAGCCCTGAGTTGGGCTCTATGCTGACACCTCGGAGCCTGGAGCCTGCTTCAGATTCTGTCTCCCTCTCTCTCTCTGCCCCTAACCCACTCGCATTCTGTCTCTGTCTTTCAAAAATAAATAAACATGGGGCGCCTGGGTGGCGCAGTCGGTTGGGCGTCCGACTTCAGCCAGGTCACGATCTCGAGGTCCGTGAGTTCGAGCCCCGCGTCGGGCTCTGGGCTGATGGCTCAGAGCCTGGAGCCTGTTTCCGATTCTGTGTCTCCCTCTCTCTCTGCCCCTCCCCCATTCATGCTCTGTCTCTCTCTGTCCCAAAAATAAATAAAAAAAAAAAAAATTAAAAAAAAAAATAATAAAATAAATAAACATTAAAAAAAAAATTTTTTTTTAATTAAAAAAAAAAAAGAGTTCCAACTGCTAACCAGGTAAAGTCCAAAATCCTTAACTGGACCTTTATCTTTCTAACCTCATCCCACTGTTCTACAAATGCACAGTAAGCCTGTCATACTGCACAACCTGTCTCTCTTAATATGGTGGCACTCACTGGTTCCTTAGCTCACAAGGTTCCCTTTCTATACGAATGACTTCTAATCATCCTTCCAGATTTAGTTCAAGTATCACCTCCTCAAGGAAGCCCTTCTTAACCACTCCAACATCAACCCTCTCCCACTGAACAGATTAGGCATTTCTTTGTCTGTACTCCCATAGCACCTTTTCCTTAGAGCTAACGGAAACTCAGCATAGGCTATTCTAACCATTGTTTTTCTGTCTCTTCCTCCTGGCTCAGAGTTCTCTGAGGACAGAGATTTTATATTAATCTCATATCCTTAGCATAACCTGTTGAACACAGCCAGCATTCCACCGTATATATGCTCAATGACACATTCTGAAAAGTGAAAGAGTTGCAGTCAGGCTTACATCACAGCATAGAATGTGTGAAATTATCAGGAATCAGTCTTCCATATTTAATGGGAAGGAAATCAAACACTCCTGAAAGTACTTCCAGGAAAGTCATTTAAGGACAACAAAGTACCTAAAAAAGAAGCAGAGAACTTAATAGGCTTTAGGGAAACACAGTGAAATAATTTACTTTGAAAACATGATAAATGTAGGGCACCTGGGGTCTCAGTCAGTTTGTCCTCCAACTCTTGATTTCAGCTCTGATCATCATCTCACTGGATTGGGATCTGGCCAGCATGGGGCTCTGCACTGAGCATGGAGACTGCTTGGCATCTTCCTCTCTCGGCTCCCTTCCCCCGCCCCCCCCCCCACTACAGCTCTCTCAAAATAAATAAATACACATTTTTAAAAACAAGGAAAAACTAAAGTGGAAAAAGAACCATAATAAATATAACCCACTAGTTTCATAGAACCAATAGAAATGCAAGATACATACATGTCTATAACCAACCTTCTTTTACACTAATTTTGAAATATTACTGAAAGTTAGTTCAGGAATACAAATCACAAACTGACGAGGTAATGAAATTCGCTGTCAGAGATGATTTCAAATAATCTTAACTTTTCCTCTCCGTTCTCAAAGAAGATAAATTTTTGAAATTCACATTTCCTCAGCAGGTATTACAAGTGCCTGTCTTCAACGCGTGGATACACCCAGAATGACACCAGTAAAAACCATGGTTAAGTGAGAGTCTGCTTGCCTCAGCTGTAGGAGCCACAACATACAACCTAAACCACACTCACGAGTTACGGCTGTCCGGGGCTAAAATGTCTGCCTGGCAGGCAACTTTAAGTCCTGCACTCAGAAGGATCTGGGAAATGGGCTGCAACAAAGGCCTAAACACGGTTTGGTCAGGAATGGCCACACCAGACATTAGCGAGCCCAGACCTGCTCAAAGACCGCCCTCCACGCGCGCGCGCCCAAGAGCCTGGCTTCGGCCGCTTCCCGCCCCTCGGTTAGTGGAGGGGAGGAGGGCACACGGCGGCCAGTGGCGCTTGCACGCCGACCGGGACAAGTTGAGGAGAAGGGACTCCCGAGACTACGAGAAGATAAGACTGAATGGCCGTTAGGCACACAACACTACCTTCTTGCTCGCGGGAGGCAGGCAATTACCATCCACCGTCGGACCTGACAGCGTCCCGCAAGGTTCACGGGCCCAGCCTCGCGGATCTCGGACTCGCCCCTAGCGCGCGGCGGGGTGGGCCCTAGGCGCGCAGCACTTAGTCCCGCCCTTCCCGAGGAACGTGGGATTGACGCTGTCCGCGGCCAATCCCCTGACGGCGCGTTCGGCTCTGAAAGCTTCCGCAAGCTGCGCTGCGCTGCGCTGCGCTGGGGTTGATCATTGGCATTTGGCCTGGGAGAGACGCCGTCGCCGCGGAGCTAGTTCTGCTCCCAGCTGGCCGGCGGGTGAGTGGTCAAAAACGGCCGTAGGGGATGTGCTGCTAGGTAGGGAGCTGCTAGCCGGCCAGGGTAGGTTTGAGGGGAGAGAGTGAACTACGGTTGCGTCCGGGGCTCCCAGTCTGACCGTGCGGGTCTAGTGGCCACCGAGGCTTGCCCCCACATTCTCGTCGTCTTGCCGTGGTACTGGCGGGATGTGTAGCTCTGAGAAGGACGGGGAGGGTGGAGGAGGCCCTGCGGGGGTAGCAGCAGCGGCTTTTGCTGAGCTTTTACTGGCCAGGCGCTCCAGCATTCGGGGAAAGCTGCCCGTGGTTGTCTGGCTGGCGATGGAGTCCCCAAGAGGGTCCTAGCGGGTCGCAGCCCTCGGGGCACTCGCGTAGGCAGACAATGTGGAAGTCTTTGTCCTGAAGCGGCGCGGCTGCCTTCTTGCAAAGATTTTGTGAACCGGCGTAGGGTCCGTACCACACCAGCTTTGCCTTCCAGGCTAGATATAAATTTTAAGCCTTTTTCGAGCTTTATTTTTTCCCCCTCCATCCTGTAGAAAAATGGAAAAGTATCTTGAGTTGTGGTATCTTTTAAATATAACCTATAGCTCATGAAAATAATGTACGATGCAAAGTAGATGTGTTTAGGTTAGAAGAAGTATTTACACACGTAAATTTGAGACTTTTGCTTCTTAGTGCGACCAACTTTCATAACCATAAACCTTGATGCGTGCGTTTTCCATAGATTTTTGGAAAGAGAATGAGGCATTTTACTCTGGAAACACTTGTTGCATGCAGTTATGGGAAATTCCTCTCTCAGTGCCAACTCTGTTATGGAAAGGGTTCATTTATTTCTAAATCAGCTGTTCCAAATATACTTTCACCATGTCCCCCTTTCAGTCTCACTGGTTGGTTTTTACTGGGATGATAGGTATTCTTCAAGACAGTTATACTTTGTTCAAGGGATTCTTAGAACCAAGTAAATGCCAGCATTAAATTAACTGGGAACCAGTAATCCATTTCTCCTTTGGTGTTCCACTTGAATGCAATAAAGGGAAAAACTTAGAAAATGAAAGAAAAAAACCTAAAATTTAAGGAGAGTTGACAAGTTAAAGGAGGAATCATTGTTGTAACCTTACTGTACCAGGGGACAGAAACAAGCTTTATCCCTTGACCATATAAATTTTTCACCACATTATGTTCCTCCCAGGTTTAGTATTTAAAAAGAAGTGAATTCCACTCTTTATGGAAACAACATTACATTATATGTAAGTCTGGCTACTCATAATAGACTAGCTGCATCTACTTTACTTTTTTTTTGTCATCTTTAATTCAAGTGTGTAATTAACATACAGTTTTCTATTTAGTTTCAGATGTACAATATAATGATTTAATAATTCTGTACATTTCTCAGTGATCATCAAGATAAGTGTACTCTTAATCCCCTCTATTTATTTCATCCATCTCCCCACAAACCTCCTGTCTGGCAACCACCACCAGTTTGTTCTCTGTGTTTATATGTCTTTTTTTTTTTTGGTGTGTGTGTGTGTGTGTGTGTGTGTGTGTGTGTGTGTGTGTGTGTGTTTCTTAAATTCCACATATAAGTGAAACCATATGGTATTTGTCTTTCTCTGACTTATTTCACTTAGCAGTATATTGTCTAGGTTCATCAATGTTGTTGCAAATGACAAGATTTCGTTCTCTTTTATGGCTGAGTAATATTCTATTATATACATACATCACATCTTCTCTATACATTCATCTGTGGATAGACACTTGGGTTGGTTCCATATTTTGGCTGTTATAAATAATGCTGCAGCTTTGGTCTTTTTTTTTATATTGGTCTTTTCTGTTGGTATGTTTAGCTCCTGAGCTTTCACTTTGGTCTCATAAGAAAATGTAGGTTTTCTTTCAGTTGAGTTTTCCTGTCCGTTATTTCATTTAGTAAAACCAGCATGCTAGAACACAAGCTTTAGGAAAGGGATTTTAATTGCTTATTTTATCAATAAGAACTGTAAAAATAAGTTGTTAGTCTTATCATGAAGTCAGATTTAAAAATTATTTACTGCTTTTATTAGAAGATCTGCAAATAGCATATTTTGTTGAGTGTGTTTATTTTATTTCAGAACAACCAGAGAAAAATGATCCTAGTAACACACTTATTTTGCCATGTGAGAGTAGAGTATTTAAGTTTCCAGTTCTGTCGGTGTTGATTCATTTCATTGCTTTCCTACAGAGCAAACATGAATGTTGGAGTTGCCCACAGTGAGGTGAATCCAAATACCCGTGTAATGAACAGCCGGGGTATGTGGCTGACATATGCCTTGGGAGTTGGCTTGCTTCATATTGTTCTACTTAGTATTCCCTTCTTCAGTGTTCCTGTTGCTTGGACCTTGACAAATGTGATACATAATCTGGTAAGAATTTCACCTTATATAAAGCGGTTAAAAGCCTATGCTTTAGTGCTTATCGGGGGCTGAGGGAGAAAGAAATGGGGAGTTGCTGTTTAATGAGTACAGTTTCAGTTTTGCAAGATGAAAAGAGTTCTGGAGATAGATGGTGGTGATAGTTGCATAACAGTGTGAATGTACTTAATGCCACTGAACTGTACACTTAAAAAATGATTAAGATATATTTTATGTTATGTGTATTTAAAAACAATTTGCTAAAAGCTTAAATCTTTATGTTAAAGAAAAGAAAAACATGGGGCGCCTGGGTGGCCCAGTCGGTTGAGCTTCCGATTTCAGCTCAGGTCATGCTCTCACAGTTTGTGGGTTTGAGCCCCACATTGGGCCCTGTGCTGACAGCTCAGAACCTGGAGCCTGCTTCAGATTCTTTGTCTCCCTCTCTCTCTCTCTGCCCTTCTCCTCGCACTGTCTCTCTGTTTCTCAAAAATAAATAAACATTAAAAAAATTTTTGTTTTTCTACCACAAAATTAAAAAAAAGAAAAACACCACTTAGTTTAAAAGTTTTATTGAGGTATAATTTTTAATGTATGTAACATAAAATTTGCTGACTTAAAAGTGTACAGTTCAGTAATTTTTAGTATATATGATAACTTTGAAGATATCCATATCTAATATGGGATAGATAGGGTTATCTATTAATTCTTTATATTTAAACATCGGCCCTTTCTCTAAGCCTTTTTTTCTCCTTTTGGTTTCATAGGATCTAGAAAATAGGCCATTTTAGCAACACTTCCAAGATACTGTAATTCAGGCTACTATAGTATTAAAGAGAATGCTTCAGAAGAAGTTACGGTTTTTGATTAACTGGAGTCTAATAAACATCTTCGGTTTCAATCCTTGTTAGAAACTTTTCTAAATTGTTTAAATATACTTTCCTGGTTCAGTATAGAAATTTTGAGCTTAATCACACATTATTGAGGATCTTATAGTGCCTTAGCTTCTTCATGTTGACTGTGGGTCTTCTGTACTATAGGATAGCTCTACAAAGTATCAGAGATTCAGTTGACTCTATTGACCATATGATGCAGCCCTGGAAATTATCTGTTTAAAAAAAGAACAACTGATAGTGACTTTTCTTATCTTTAACAGCCTATGAAAGCAGAATGAAAGGGGAGAAATACAATTAATTCAAATTTTTAATTGAATCCAGATTAACTATGTATTTCTTTATTCCCTGTCTTCTGAAGAGTATTTGAATTTGACTGGAGGAGGGCAGGATAATGTGGTAAAAATAAGTGAATGTCCATTTAGTACATTTTATGCAACGGACTTTGATAGGGCAAACACTAGTTTTAAGTAGCAACTTCTCTGAAATATTTGACAAGAATTATATCTTTTACTAGAATTCCTTTCCTTTGGCTTCCATGGGATCACTTTTTCCTAGATATTTCTGATTTTTCCTTCTTTGTTTCTTGTACAGTCTTCTATTTTCGTCTCCTAAATATTGCTGTCTCCAAGGTTCGTTTTTTCATCTCTTTTTATTCTATGTATTGTGCCTAGGGTACTTCATCTATCCATATTTTCGGTTTATACCCTAGAACAAACAAATATAAATTGAACTCATTCCTGATCTCTTACCACTTATGACCCGTTCCTCTGGCTTTATTCCTTATCTAATCTAAAGGCACCACTGTATGCCCAATAAGTCAAGCCAGATAGCTTCAAAGGTAAAGTGATTCATATAATGTATTATCGAAACTGAGTCTGTTTTGAGAGTAAAAGGGAACTCTAGTAATAGCTAATCCAAGAAAACAGGTATAAATCAGGACCATCCGTGCCAACTAGGATATATGGTCACTCTAGTTTTAGGTTAACTGCTTTTCCTTTATCTTCCATATCCATATAGTCAAAGCCCTGTCTGTTCTGCTTTACTGTCTCTCAACTTGATCCCCACAGATATTACTGTAATTTATACCCTTATTTTTTTCTCAGGTGGATTACTCCAGTAGATCAAATGGTCTCCTTGATGTTCTTCTATTCTACTCTCCTCCATTCCAAGTTGGCACAGTTATTTTTAAAATGCATAGGGGCGCCTGGGTGGCGCAGTCGGTTAAGCGTCCGACTTCAGCCAGGTCACGATCTCACGGTCCGTGAGTTCGAGCCCCGCGTCGGGCTCCTTGCTGAGTGCTCAGAGCCTGGAGCCTGTTTCCGATTCTGTGTCTCCCTCTCTCTCTGCCCCTCCCCGTTCATGCTCTCTCTCTGTCCCACAAATAAATAAACGTTGAAAAAAAAAATTAAAAAATAAATAAATAAAATGCATATATGCTTAAGTCATGCTCTAAGTCCTTTTATGATTCCCCATTACATTCATAATAAAATAACAAGTTTATTATGTGGCATATAAGACCAGTTGAATAGTATAGAGGCAAGAAATGACTCAATCTTATATCAGCTCATCTCCAAACAGGAATTTTTCTCTAACAATAATGAAAATGATCTTGCTTTCACCTTTTTTTGCTTTGGCTTAGGCTCTTTTTCCACTATTTTAATACCCCTTCCTCCATCCCCCTCTGCCAGGCTGATTCTTAGTGCAGGAAAACTACTCAAATATCACCTCCAGAAAACTACAAAACTCCCATCCTACATTCTTTTATCCTTTATTTATCATAGTTTTATAATTAGGAATTTATCTTTTTATTTTCCATATCTCTAAAGACTTATGTAAATGTTTGCTGAATTAATTAGTCTGTATTGTCATGTAATTTTCTCTTCTCCAATGAGACATGTATTAAATGTACTTTAGAAGTCACCCCCTCCCCCGCCCTATGTTTTCAATTGGCTAACTGATATTGAAACACAATATATGGCCACATGGTAATTGACAACACGTAAGGAAGCAAACTTCTGACTTATTAGTTCACCACACTAAAGACCTACGTACCAGCCATAGATGTAAGCAATTACATGACTCCAAATTTAAGTTTCTTTTGAAGATAGCCCACTTTAAACCAATTAAAAATGTGAAATATATTCTGAATGCTTTTAAATGGGAAAGTAGACCTGGTTGTTATCCCTAGTTAGAAAAAACACAGTCTTTGCCTTTTGGGTCACATACTCTTCAGAATTTAAAAGCGTGTAATTTCTGTTTTATTGTCTCCCGTAAAGCCCATGTGAATATGGTTTCTTTGTGCTTACAGAATAAATATCCCTTAGCTTACCTTCATCTTGGCTTAATGTCTAATACTTGCTATATACCAGCCCTTGTTCCTGAGGTATTCAGGCTAATGGAAAAATAAACATGTAAACAATTCCAACAATATGTTGTGCTATAAATAAAATATTTTCAATAAAATTCTATACAAGCACATAGGCTACTACTAACGAGGAGGGCCTCATTAAGGATTGTCATTTGAGCTGAACCTTCAAGAATGAGGTAGCTGACAAGGTAGCATCACAGCTTTTGCCTCAGCAACAAGGAACCTTTCCCTCTTTTGTATTTGCTGAATACTCTGATTGTACCTATGATAGCAATTTCTGATCTACATTCTAATTGTTATGCATATCTTTTTTTTTTTCTCATCGTCTCTTAGGAGATTGAGTTTTTTTCAAGACTGTGGACATGTTTTACTCAATTTCATAAATGCATACATGTCCTGTGTCCTATACACATAATCCACTTGATAAATTTGTTGAGTTAATCCATTTGAACATGAGTGTTTCTATATAGTTTAGGTGTTATTGCAGCCAAACAACTTTTTAATTGCCTAGTGGAATAACTAGTAAGTAGGCTAAGCTTTGAGAAGGAGGGCTGTCTTAACCTAGTTAATAATATAAAATTTCAAATCACAAGTTTTTGTTTTCTTCCCATACATTTATTGAAAGTTGAAATAGAAAAAAATGATACCTCGTTATGACTTCTAGTGGGAAAAACTGTTTCATGATAATATTTAGGCAGGAATATTCTGTTACTGGTGCCTCAGACAGTGATCCTGCAATGTAGTACTGCCAGTGATCTGAATGGATATCATAATCTCAAGGAAACCAAATCTAGTATATATTGGTTTTTACCTAATCACAAAATTAGATGTTCAAACATATCCCTGAACAGAATGGCTTTTAGTAAGACTTTTTACTTTAAAAAAGAAAACAAAACAAAAACAAAAAACACAACTACAAAAGAAACTCCATTGGGGCACAGTGGTGATTTTAAAAGCAAATTGAGTTGAAAATTATTCTTACTACATAACCATCTTTCTCGCTTTAGAAGAAAACCATTGAGACAAACACAGTCCTAATATTAAGTATTATCAAACCCATTTTCCCCTGATACAGAAATTTTGTTTATTATTATTTACCAATTTGTATGTTTTTGTCATTTTAGAAGTATCATCAGATTTACTAATGTGACACTGAACATCCTATACATCAAGGATAAGATAATCCTATTTCCTAATAAGAAGGGAATTAGAAAATCTAAATGTAATGATGTAAAGCTATCCTCATTTTTTGTGTGTGTGCATTTCAATTTAATAGGAGATGAAAACAGGTTACTTTTTTGGTTGACCTTTTACTGGTTTTCCCCAAAGATTTTTTATATGCCCCTGAAAGTTTTATTTTACTATGAAGAAACTGGTCTTTCACAAATAGTAATGAAAGCTTAAAACTTGAACTGTTAAGTTAAATCACCCATACTGCCATAAGCAGTCTGGAACTATCTTAATGCTTACTGACAAATCTAATTTTATATTTGATATTGCTTGTTTTTCAGGGGATGTATGTATTTTTGCATGCAGTAAAAGGAACACCTTTTGAAACTCCTGACCAGGGTAAAGCACGGCTCCTAACTCATTGGGAACAGCTGGACTATGGAGTACAGTTTACATCTTCACGGAAGTTTTTCACAATTTCTCCAATAATTCTGTAAGTGATGGAAATTTTTAGGTATGAAGAAGATTGGATAAGAGGAAGCTGTCCTTTTGTTAGGTTGAATTTCAGTTAGAAACAGAATATTTGTTGAAACCTCTACCAATAAATAGCTAACTCAGAGCATAAAATACAGACAAAATTTAACAAGCTGGTGATAAACTGTTTTTACGTCAGTCAGTAATACATGGAGACAACAACAATAATGTGCTCATCAGTGTGTTTAGACCTAGGATACACAGATCAAATATGTTGTAGTTCATATCCTTAAGTTACTTACAAGAAAGCTAAATGCATAATCTTATTTTATATTCCACTATTAGATTAATCACCCTAACCAAGGATTTGGGTGATTTCAGATGAATTTCATTGACCACCCACCTCCCCCAGTTTGGATGTTCAAGCTCCTTGGGAGAGATTGCTGTATAGTTTATAGATAAAAGAAGTTAGGCTTTCATCGTAGGACAGACCTGGGTTGAATCCTGTTTATCGCACCACCTACTTGGTTTGCTTATGGATAAAATTCTAGCCAATACTACATAATTCAATTGGATGCCTTAAGAAATAAATGAGATAATAGCTGTCTGTAAAGCATTTAACCTTAAATTTCCTCCTATTGCCTGACATTCAGGGCCCTCCACAAAATGGTTCCTACCTTATTTTTCCTTTATGTGAATATTTTACCCCCACCCAACTCCCACCTGGTCAAGCTCTTCTAAGCAGCATTTTTTTTTTTAATGCTTTGTGCATAGTCCTATTTCTATGCCTTTGTTCAAATCATTTCTCCTACCTGAAATACCTTCTCCGTTCTTAATTTATCTTACTCTTCTTTCAGTATTTAAATTCTGCCTTCTCATGCAGTCTTCTCCTTAGCACCCAACCTTAAGAAATAATGCCTGTTTTGAACTCCTTTAGTAGTTATTACACATCCCTTATTTATGCCACTTTGCATTATTTCTGTTATTATAAATGTTTTATTTCTGCAAAGAATTTATAAATGTGTAGATTGCTTTGAATTCCACACTCAGTATTGTTGCATGCATATAATGGATGTTTTACATCTACTTTAAGCAAACACTGTATACCATATAGCTCATATATAATAACATATCCATGATTTAGAATCAGTGCAGTCTGGAATAAGTGGAAAGACTCCTTGGAGACTAAATTAGGATTCCTTAAACTGAGACTTAGGGAAGGTAGATTTCAGGAAAAGGAAGGCATTTTTAAATGAAAAGAATAAATTGATCATAAAGTAGTAGATTTTTTTTTTTTATGTCGTTAGGACTTTGAGGAAATTTTTTAAATTTTTGTTTGAGCCCTATATAAAATTAATGTCAAAAGAGAAATGATTTGTATGATCTAACAAAGATAAACACAGTAACAGGAATAATAGTTATTCAAACAGCCCTAAATTTGGACTGCTTTCTAACTTTGTGACTTTTGGCCATTTCTTTGAAGCCTCATTTCCTCATCTGTAAAATGTTGAGGATTGCATTATAATTAATGTAAAAAGCCTGACATGTATACTGAATTTTCAATAACAGCTATCACAAAATTGTCAACTAAGATGTACCTGTGTACAACATCCGTATTTCTAAAAATGTATTTTTGACCCACAGGCATGATTTCAAATATTCTGTGATTAAATTCCTTATATAACTGAAGAAACAACACTAAAGCCATCTATATAGCATTGATACTTTTCAGAGTGCTTTCACATTTTCTTATTTGATCATTTGTCAGGTAGGTAGGATATGCAGTGTTATCCCAAATTTTTAGATAAAGGAACAGACTCAAATGCATTACCTTGTTCCAGATCTTGCAACTGGTTGGAGTCAAGAGCCCAGATGAAATCCTAAACTTCTAGTGCCTAATACACGTCTCTTTCCAGTATATACTTCGGCATATAAATGCTATTACATGACTCCCACCTCGGTTTAGCATCCCCTCAGAGGGTTGTCTAGGTTTTTGTAAGAACCTGTAATTTTCATGTAATTTACACATAAAATTAGTTTCTATTAAATGACAAAGGGGACAGTATGATGCATACAATATATGCTACAGTATGATGAGGAGGAGCCATTCCAAAAATTATTTATTTCCAACACATCAAGTTATGGGTTAACCCATATTGATTATAGGAAATCAAATGAGCTTACTAAATGCAAGTGGTAGGAAGTATAAACACAGTCTTCAAATATATGAAAGCTGGAAGAAAGGGTTTAAACTAAAGATTGAAGAATATGGTTTATTCTTGAAGAATTTTCTGATTATAGTTTGTGAAATAGGTGGAAGATTATAGAATTTCTCAATATAGATGGCTCTGAAAATGATGTATACAGCTCTGTGTGATGTTTTTAGTCATACTTCAAAATAGCTATTCTTTTCTAACCATATTACACAAGATAATTTATCTCCTCTTACTAGAAATTAATGACCATATTTAGAGGAAAGGCTATTAGAATACTTTACTGTGTACTCTAAAAGTACCAATTAGACAAATACCCATACATAGACTAACTTCTTAGTCATGATCAAGTAGAGTATGATGTTTTATTCTTTTTAATTTATTATTATTATTATTATTATTATTTTAATGTTTATTTTTGAGAGAGAAAGAGCATGAAAGGGGAGGGGCAGAGAGAGATGGAAACACAGAATCTGAAGCAGGCTCCAGGCTCTGAGCTGTCAGCACAGAGCCTGATGTGGGGCTCGAACTCACGGACCGCGGGATCAGGACCTGAGCTGAAGTCGGACGCTTAACCGACTGAGCCACCCAGATGCCCCAATGTTTTATTCTTAAATCCTGTCTATATTAGTATATTCTCAGTGTCCAAATGATGTGTCTGCACTCTGATGTGCACTTGGGTAAAACTAGACATTCTGACTTGATGCTTTATGGTCCTAAAGGTAGCTTAGGCTTGTTAAAACAAATTCTTAGATATTGGATGTCTTTGAATATGTACATATGGTCAGTTACAGCAAAACAGCTGGAATGTTACAACAGTGTTTTCCAGATTTCCAGTTAAACTGGTTATCAACCTGTTTGGCTACAATAAACATCAAAAAAAGGCAACCAGGTACTTGTTTTCTTTCAAAGATACTGAATTGTATTAATGTACTAACACCCCATTTTCACAACTTTATAGCAGTAGTTTTTAACCTTTTGGTGGGTCACAAACCCTTTGAGACTATGATAGATGCTTTGGGTCTGGATCTTCTCTTCAGAAACATACACATAAATACAAAACTGTACCTGAAATTTCAGAGTATACGAACCCTAGTTTGAAAGACTTCTTTAAAGGATGCTAAGTAGCAAACACATTCTTTTAAATGCATTTCACATGATTGCAGAAATGCAAAATGTGCATATATGCCTCCATTAAATAAAATTTTAAATCCCGAATGAATTTAGACCCCCATCTGGTGCCTCCTGTTTTAGTACTCAAAAGTGATCCTGTTTTTAGGTATTTATGTTTCAGTGGCTTTTTTTACCTTTAAATTTTTTAATAAATTCTAATTAATTTCATTTTTAGATGTTATATATATTTTAACTTTTATTTCTACAGATATTTTCTGGCAAGTTTCTATACGAAGTATGATCCAACTCACTTCATCCTAAACACAGCTTCTCTCCTGAGTGTACTAATTCCCAAAATGCCACAGCTACATGGTGTTCGGATCTTTGGAATTAATAAGTATTGAAATGTTTCGAAATGGAACAGAAAATTTTTACAGCTACTGAATTTTCTGTAAGGAAGGAGTGGTTAGTAAACTGCACTGTTTCCGTGATATTGTGAAATGAGAAGTATTTACATTGAAGGGCCAGTTGCTGGTTCTTCACATGCTGTTTTGTAGTGCAGGTATTTACTAGAAGATGCCTCTGTTTAATGCATCTGGTATCTTTCTGAAGAGAGGTGTTATAGGCAGGCTGGGCAGGCCCAGCTTATAAGTTAAATGGCTGTACACTGAAGGATTAGTAGATGAATTCAAAGAAATGAGAGATTTATAAGAAAACAAGACCAGCTTAGCTTATAATGAATGGGCATTATGTTAGGAGAAGAAAATTTCCAATCATTCAGTCATGGTCAGCTTAAGCAGACTTAACCTGTAAACCAGAATCATCTCTTTACAAGTTTATTATAGATTGTTTTTATTACCATACATGTTCCTCTTGTGTTGTAGAGGAGGATATTTCTCTCTTGTTTTATACAATCCAATCCTTACCTTATGATTGTACTTTTTTTGCTTTTGCTGGGTCAACATTGTGTTGATAGATTGAGGTCATTTTTACATTTATTAATTAATGAGTTACATTTATTAGTTAATGAGTTCATGAAGGTCCACCTTCATGACTGGTGACAGAAGACAGCATCTTACAAACAGCCTCTGAATCAACCTTCTAATTTTGGAACGGAATGGGTTTTGTTGCCTTTCCAGACACAAGGCTGCTAAGCCAATTAAGAAAATAATTTATTTCACACAGAGTATATGGTAATTTAGAGGTCTCTGCTTATTTGGTTGATCAATCTAATTGTTAAAGTCTGCTGTTATTTAGAAAAGGAAACATAAAGTGGACAACTATATAGCCAACCTGTGGTCTGGCAGAAACTGCTTCTCTAGCAGTAGTACCATAGTAAATAATGGAGTCGTCTTTAGCAGGTTTACAGCAAAAGAAAACATCTTTCCTTAGTCCCCCTGCTCTCACTCCCCATATTTTGCTCATTAATGTTTGGCCTTTCAGTTCATGGGTCTTGGTGTAGATAACCCAAAGTGGTAACTCTTTCCAAAACAGCAACCATATTGAATTCTTGTGACTTAGAGAAGCTTCCTATAATTGATATTAATTAGTTGCAAAAAATAACTGCATACTACTTTGAGAAGTAAACATGTCAAAACCAAAGTTCTGATATGGGATGAGACTGAAATATCCAGTAACATTTGTAAACAAAACTGAGTGACAAGAGTTATAGACCAGCTGAAAAATCAATTTG